CAAAAACGATATGTGCGGCACTATTCGTATCCAGAAACCACATGTACTATAAAATATATTGATCAACTTTCGTTCGGACACATGTCATAACAGTAGATTGTGTCACTAGCCAATAAAATGTTGTATTTACGACGAGGTGCTATATTGAATCCAGAGTAGCCGACCTTGTTGCGCTTGGGATTCTAAATCAGAATCCTAGACCTTGCGTGTGATTGAGTATATTGCGTGAAACTGAACGAGGAACGTATGTAAAAGCTATTGTAATCCTTCTCTGTGGGAAAGTAATGAACTTCTCCGCGGGAAAGTAATGACTTCTTTGTCAAGGTTTATTGAAAACGTACATAATATCGTCGGGGACAGTGCCAAACCGCGTACATAGCATTGGTAAAAGGCGCGTATCTGACTAAACCAAATTTTACAGGAGAGGCATTTAACGTTATTATACTTTATAATTTCAATGGCTAAGACTTTCATTTTTTCACAGTAAGCATTAAATTATGTTGTCTACGGACTGATAACAATATATTCTCGTATATCATGCTAATTTGGTTGCCACGACATTACCGAAACGGAAACTCATAATCCAATGCTAGTTACGCGTAATTGCAGTATCCCCGACGATATGTGCTAAACACTAAAACCTATATACTACATGCTTGTTTCAAACTAAAGAATTAGTTTTATTTGATTTTAAATTCGAGGCTTAACCGTCCGACTTAAATACCCAGATCAGAAACATTCGTTCATCAAACATTGTCCCACCGCGAACAGAATGTGAGATGCTCTCGTTAAATTTAAATTAAATTAGTAGCAGTTCATCCATCCTCCATGTGAAAGAGTTCCAGGGAAGTACTGCCAAGGTGGCAGATAGGTAAGGTACCTATTTCTACCGTCAAGCAGCAATGTGAGCTTTACTGCATTCCGGTTTTGAAGGATAAGGGTGCTGGTGATTACAGGCGCGTGCGACTTGTTAACTTGCGTCTCAGAGTGACAGGTGCAGTGGCAGAGTCTCTCAGATCTTTGGGATTTAAGGCTTTGAGCAGCACTGCAACTGCAATGGACAGGCGTGTTACCACCTTAATCATAAAAAAATCCAGAATGCTAACCGCTGGGCCACTGAGTACGTGTAAAGTCATCAAATCACATTAGTCTTACATGGTCATTGCAGTTGAATGTATAATTATTAGCGTACAAACTTTCGTATCAATGCCAACCTAAACTCGTCGCTACGCGTAGCAATGTTGCTGACGTCATAGGCTTGATTGATAGAGCAAATTCGCGAGTCACGCCTCTCCGAAATCTTAGCGTCAAACGCCAGCACTATGGCATTTTGGTGCCAATAGAGCAAAAAGTTAAATACTGAGTTTATGAAAGGGTGTATTTCAAAGGCGTATCGACTACTTCTAAACCTTTGACTTGAGTCAAGTAGCAGCTATTAGGGTGGTTTATAACTTGATATCATTTACATACAAGATCTGTAAGTATTGTAATTAAAAATATAGTATACGTTCTGCTTAAAGTTCTCTATTTTGCAAGAAAAAATATTTTGGGAGAAGGGTACACCCTTGGCATAAAGTGACAAATATTTTATGCAATCGTTGTCTAATGAGGGTTCTTAAGCCGAGTACCGTGTTTAGACTACGAGGTAAGTAATAGGTACGAGATTTTAAGATCTAATTATGTAATGATTGCATACAAAACTTTATCTACGAATATATAAAATAATTAAACACAAACAATTTTAATGTATTACATTTTCAACGTGTGTTAGATACATGTCAATTGTGACCATGAGACGTGTAAAGAGCCCGAAACGTTTTGGTTTGTTTTAAAAAACAAATATACGCGATTTAAATCTGTAAAAACAGTTTCATTTTTATAAATAAATAAGTAATAAATATTAGACAACATCACATACGTTGTTCTGATCCCAAAGTACTTGCTAAAGCACTTGTGTTATGGAAATCGGAAACAATGACGGTACTACAAACAACCAGACCCGAGACAATATAAAAAGGTTAGCTTTCCACTCTGACTCGGCCGGGCATCGAACCCGGGACCTCAGAGATGGCAACACCATGAAGACCGGTGTGCAAGCCAATCGACCACGGAGGACGTCATGCGTAACAATCGCGAAAACCTAACAACTCGGTATTATGTTTTCATAATGATATTTTAATTAGCAAAAATTCGACGTTCTTTTTAAAGTAACTAAAATTATTGTTTTAGTTCAGTAGCGAGTACCGCAGACAATAGATTTTTGTTAAAATTTAGAAAAGTTATAATTGACAGATTAAAGTACAAAGTGTTTCACCATATGAAATCATAAATATATATACGAATGAAATACATGAATAAAATGCGAAAATAGCAGTTACAGTGCCACACACAATTTTAAATCGCACATATTAAGTGTTACCACTTATCTATTTCTGCCGCCAAGCAGTAATGTGAGCATCACTGCGTTCCGGTTTTGAGTGGTAAAAGGTACTGGTGAAATTACAGGCACACGGGAATTGTCAACTTATGTCTAAGGGTGACAGGCGCAGTGGCAGTGGCCCTCAGGTCTTTGCGATTTAAAGCTCTGAGTGGCACTGCAACTGCTATGGATAGGCGTGTAGCTTACCATCAGACGCACGACTTGTTCGTCTCGTCACTTGATATTATAAAAAAAACTGAGGGGCACTGCCACTGCACCCCGTCACCTTAAGACATAAGTTGACGCCCCATGTGCCTGTAATTTTACCAGCAACTTTCAATACCGGAACGTAGTAATGCTAGATTACTGCTTGGCGGCAGAAATAGGTAAGGTGGCACTTTATTTAGTTTTATTTATTCAGTAATTTATTTCAGGTCATAAGACCCATACAATATATACCTTAAGGAGTAACATACAAACAATATAATAGAACAATATAATAACCAAATTCAAATTCATTAATTTCTGTGTGATACACATGTTACAAAAGGTGTTACAAAAAGTTCATATATTATATAGAATCGCTGTGATCCGCCTTGCAGCATACAAAGTATCCTTCAGCATACAACTAAATAAGTACTCTCGAATTGCATTTGTCTGCGACTTCATAAAGAGCTCTACAGTTACTAAATCTACTGTTATCAAAGTCTCAAAATGTTGTTATTATTATTTTTTATGTTTCTCTTAAGATTTACCAACAAAAAGTTCTTTGAAAGCTTTGTGTGGGTTTCACTATTACTATTAATTTTATGTTTATTGAAAAAACATAAACTTTTTATGGCCAATTCCACTTTATACCACTCATTTTATGCCGCTTCGCTAAGAACGCGTATTAGCGGCTGTAATAACTATCATATTAGCTATTTTTTACGATGCCTTGTATAATAATAATAATAATAATAATAATAATTTTCTTTATTCAGGCAATAAACCCATTCAAATAAATAGTTACTCTTAATCTAAAGTATCAATTAAGTTATAAAATACAATAATATAATAAGAAATAAAATAAAATAAGATAGGCAGTACCATAAATGGGTAATTGTCATTTTCGATTCGCATCCCGGTGGACAGACAGCCAGTATTTAAAAATGGAGTTGTCGGATGAAAAGTCACAAACTGCTCTCAGGATTGCATTGTCAGATGCAGACACTCTTTTCCAGAACGAGGCCACTCTCGCTCGTATGATGGCGAAAAAATCCGGAATGCGGGCTTCTGCAAACATGCTCGACGCGCTGCAAAATCTAGGTAGCTTCACCAGGATACGGAGCGCGTCATTATATTGAATCCTCAACGTGTTGTAAGATTTCCTGGTGAAGCTGGTCCACAGCTGACAGGTGTACATGCATTGGCAATAAGCCCTAAACAAGGTCACCTTGACTTGCTTATTGCATTTCGCAAACCTGCGCGCGAGCATGTTGCTTCTTACGCATAAAGCCCGCCGCTCTCGTTCAATATCTAAGTCATCACGAAGGTCGTCTGTAAGAACATGACCCAGGTACTTAAACTGACGCACTCTCCTCACCGGCGAACCATCAAGAAAAACATCCGGAACCTTTTCCGGACCCCTCCCAGCCCTGAAGACTATCATTTCCGTCTTTGCAGCATTATATTTCAACCCATGAGCCCTAGCATAGCGCTCACAGATTAAAAGCAGCTTCCTCAGGCCTCCAATCGAGGGACTGAGAAGAACCATATCGTCAGCGTAGCTGAGTGTGTTTATACACACCCCACCCACGTGACATAATAAAAACGCTCGTTACAACGAATAAATTAATCCATGAATCTCTTTATTCGAAGACCCTCCTTACCCTAATTCAAGGGATCAACAACCCGCCAGCCAATTGTGTCGATATTGGGGAAATTGTTTGTAAGAGGCATATATTTGGTTTAACTGTGATAGTATTCTCTCTGAACGTTTCTTCAAGATACAAGATCAATCGTCATATAAGTATATACTTTATTGAGTTTGTCACAAAGTCTCATATTTTTATCGCTTCATTTTATTAACATCGTAACGTTTGACACATCCTGAAGGCAATGCTGAAATCTTTATTGTCTGTAAAAAGGATTCATAGCTAGTATACTACCTTAAAAACTTTTCCCAGGCTCAAAAATATTGCTGTCAAATACGTCACCCAAGGTCTTATTCGTCACCCAAAACGGAGCCTTATCCACATAGAGCTTGACTTGATTTGTTTACTTAAAGTTGTGAAATTTGTGTATAAATTAACATATCTTTTGCATAATTCTTATAATAATCTGTACGTTTTATATGTACACTCACATAAGTCACATAAATTTCTCTGATAAAAATAATATGGACTGTGAAGTGCCGAGTTGCGGTCATGTTACCATGTTAGAAGGTAGTGGATTAGATTAATGAGACGGTTTTGAAAAAAATACGTATTCTAATTGAATACTTCATAAAAAACTGGTTTCGGTAATACGCCTTGGTTTTAATGTATAGGGAACTACCTGTATTGAGACGTATCTCAATTTATTTGTCTCTGTTGTGCAGAGGATGCGCCGTCCGCGTCGGCACCGCTGGCTGACGGTATCGGTCTTCTTCATCGCGTACTCCGTGTTCCAAGCCGTGCTGAACCCTGCTGCCACTGGAGAGATCACCGAGGTCACATCTGATGAGATCACTGAGAAGATCACGCCCACAGAGGCTATGGAGACTGTTAGAACATCTGTAAACGGTATGATAGTCATAGTTGAATATTTCACAACCAGTTTTATATGTTACATTATAATGGAATCGTTCACAAGTTATTTGTACTAAGTAAGTACTAAGATACGCACACCGGATACAAACGCACACCGAATACTGCAAAAGAACACGCAGTGACATGCCGTGTGAACGGGGTAGAATCTTCAAAAATAATCTAGGTAGTGGCGCGGCTGCAGCGCCACTGTGGTGCTACTGCAGCGCTTCCGTAAGCGTCTAAATGAATCTAGCTTACAACAATAAATATAGGTAATTAAAATTTACAAAATATCGCAAAAATAAGGACTTCACGATTATGTGCTATGTGTTGCTCGATAATATTTTGCAAACTCAATGCATTATTTAAAATCATTTATGTAAAAATAATACTTATTAGTTAGGTCGTTTTGTGATTTGAATTTGACCAATTTCTTGGTGTCCCAAGTTTTTTCTTCAATACAATGAAATTATCTTTACACGAAACTCAGTCCATCGGCACTAAAAAAATTAATCAGTTTTATTCATTTTTATGGACAACTAACGCATGACCAAAAAAACTACTATGCCAAAATTGTTTTCACAAAATATTTAATGGTTCCTAAGAGTGATTGATTGATTACACACGGCCGCTTTTAGTCTGCATAGATACAAACGCGCGACTGCATCGATACAAACGCGAGATAGCATTGATGCAATCGCCTATAAATCCCAAGTGTAGCGATGCAATCGCGCGTTTGTATCGACGCAACCGCGCGCTGCAATCGCGTTTGCATCGCTGCTTAAAATCGGGCGCGTGTGAATGATAGATGATTAGCGACTGCATCGCGTTTGCATCGCTGCTAATAGTCGCCGTGTGCAACCGCTCTAAGACAGGATTCCTGTATCTCCTATAGTTTCGGATTTTCATACTGCCCCAATTAAAAATAAAACACTGTATAAACTGACCTCGTACCTTTGGCAGAGGGGTTCACTCGTCGCACTGTGTGTTATTTTACTTTAGTTGCGGACATCCTCATTTTATGTTCGATTTCAATAGGTTGAATCCTAATTTATTGTACTAAGAAACACCCGTTTAGATATTTACTTTTATTATGGAGATATAATTTTTTTTTCGAAAGGTCACTGAACTGCAACAAAAATGTTTTTGCCTGTATTTCCCGAAATATGTGAAACATCCCTTTGAAAAAAATACAAATTGACTGTCTATTTAAACTTTATTAAATGTGAAAATCGTAAGTGCTTCAGCGCACAAAAAAGCGAGAAAAAAAAAATGTTTTTAATTTTAAAAATATATTTATATAAAATTAACCGTACTAAATTAGAATTTTTTTTCACCTTCAAATATAGTACATTTAATGTATCTATCGAATAAAGAAAAGTAAACGTTTATCTTGGAAAATCTCGAAGATACTGCGTTTCTAAAGTTTTTATAGATTTCTGACGAAAATAGGGTTCTCACAAAATGTATAAATTTTTACCCGAATACGTGAATCAATGGTGGGTTATGTGTTAAAACAACAACAACAATAATATATTTATTTCGAATATGAATAGACTTGTACGTAGTAGTAGATACAAAGATGTAAACTTATTTTAGCATTAGTAAATATACAATTTTATTCGTACATGTGGGAGCTTTGGTAGCCTTCAACACTTCAAATTCCTTAATGAGGTTCAGATAACATAGTCCATATGGTACATTAATTGAATTTTTACATTTATAATTTGCGTTAGTTAAATTTTAAATCAAGTGAAATAAATTAAATTGAAGTAATTATGTCAAAAATAATTTAAAACAATATACGTTACATAGTATTGGCGTATTTTGTTATAATATTCACGTAATTGCATTACGCTGTGTAAATAAAAATAAATTATCCTGGCAAATGCTGAAAGCAACATTTTCCTCATTATCGGATTGCAGAATGATTTCGTCTGTTGCTAGCGTGATATCAGCAGCTTCAATACTAATGTCTTCTGATGGGTAACGAACATTTTCCGTGGTCACTCTTAGAAGGCGAAGAACTTTATCAGGTATAGGTAGAGATTTTTTGTTTGTGACGTGTACTAAGTGTCAAAGAGGATAAATAAGATCAGACGATTCCAGTGCACGGTGAAATAAGTATGTGATGGTCGTTTTCCGATCCAACTTTCGTGTATGGTGCTCTCGATCATAACGTCAAAACTTGTCCCTTGATTCACCGGCTTGCTCCGATAACATACCTATTGGTAATGTGCTACACTCAATGAATATAAAATTTTGCACTTTGCAGACTGGATAAATATTCAGTGACAGCCCTAAAACAAAATTTAAAAATTCAATATTTCTGGTCTCTTGTGTTTGTCGCATCTGGATCTTTTTATGGTAGTACTTATTACTGTAACTAACAAATCCGCGTTGAAAAAACATGCTAATATTACAAAGTCTTCAGAAAAAATGGATTAAACTGTAGAAAAAAAATTGTGCTCTAGGATAGCGTGATTATTTTTTGGACTTATTGGCGCTTTTATAGTTTTTTTATCATAATATGAAACATTTAATGAAAAATCGGTTACAGGATAGGATATAATTTGATTTTATGGTCTCTATGGATTTTTCTCGATTTTTTACATTTCTCTAAAACTATGATAGATACAAACAAAATAAACGGGAGAGTTTAATTAAGAACTTTGTTTGAGTATTTTTAGAAATCTTTCTAAAAAAACACATAAAACGATGATGTCTGCAACTAAGGCAAAATAACACACTGCTGGGGACAAGCAGGTATATCCATCTCGCTCGCACCTTTAGATTATTTTACAGTTATCTCTTTCTATCTAATGCACCGTGCATTGGCTGGGGTTAAAAATTGTTAAAAGCTTTATAACGTTTATTTTCCTTCAATTTTATACTTGACTTCGTAAGTTCGTCAAAACCCGGTACCCGATACAAAAGCGCATTCCATGCTAGCAAGGTACCGAGTTGTAGGTACAATATGTATCCAATTTTCCGACCTTTGATCAAGAGTCATATACGGCTCACCTCAGAAATAGGCAAGCACTCAGGTTTCACGCCAAATTGAGGGTAAACATATTTACTATTAAATACTTGCTAAGTTTTGTTGAAATTTAACGATATTGTTATAAAATGCTTCTATTTACTTAATTTCCTTATTCCTACTCATTTAAAAACACCACAAATCTCGGATGTCCGCAACTAATGTAAAATAACACACTGTGCGTCGATAGCTGCTGGTTGGAATGTTCTAAAGCTGAAATGCTTATTGCTAACTAGCATTTTAAGCATGCTAATAATTCATTTTGGTTGTAAGCAATGCCACGCTCACTGCTTATCATATTCGGCGATGAATAGTATTTGGATTACTAGTAATTGACAAATACAAATAAGTATTTTGCTTTTCAATTACCACCTTAAAATGTATTCTGTAATTTATGTTCTAAATACTTTCGTGGCGTCCGGTTAGTGGTAATGATTGTATTTTGAATACATGAGCTCAAAATACAGAATTTTGTATTTTATATTTTCAATACTCCTGAAGTAGCATTTTGTAATTTGTATTATAATTAAGACAGCACGTATTCCGCTCAGCCTTGATCACATTTCTGTAACTAGTAACTGTTAATAATGAAAAAAAAAACTTTTTAAATTTTCTTTGACATATGCAAAACGTTTGCCACGACACAATAAAGGAGATTCATTTTGCACCCAAACCACCAAACGACAAACGACAACGAAAAACAAACAACATTAATTATGTAGATAGGTTACCTTTCCTTCTTCAACCTAAATGTATTTCTTGGAAAATAACCGTTACGAGAATGATCCTTTTTGCCGCTCCGTAAGTTGTAAAGCCAAATTTCCGTATTTTAACGAACTATCTAAAATGACGCTATAGAAGTTTCATTTTATAATCGACGATTATATGTTAACTCTGACCGCGAATGGACACTCTGAAATCGTATTTTTCTCCAGACTCTCGTTTTTCACATGGTGTTAAACTAATAACGTTAAATTAAGTTTGTGCGAAAAAGTGCGAAGTTCTCAAATATTAATTTAGTCAAAGCTACAAACATTTCATTCCATGCTTACCCGAAATAGCCAGTCCTTTCTGGGACCCTTATTATCCGCACAAATAAAAAGCTTAAGCAAAGGACGAGGGCCAATAATTGAGAAGTCGCGATTTAAGACACGGCGCATTGAAAGGCAGTATAAGTTTACATTTTCGGAGACACAGCATATTCAAATTTTGCATGCATTGATGAAGTAGATCTTTATTTTTGCTTGTATCTACTATATATGTATGTGTGTAACGGTCGGAATGTTACACAAAATACTAGATTTTTTTATTATTTACGCAATTTATTCCTTTGTCTCGTTACAGTCTATACCTGGATATAGGCCTTTTAATAAGAACGATTTGCTAAAATCACTACGTCTGGCGATCATTGTGTAGCTGCAATCAGGGTGACACTGCCATTTCTTTATTTACATTCTGTGCATACCCACAAAGGAAGACATAGCTTGTCTATTTCTTAAACGGAAACGACAAGTTACGTAGTAAGTACTTGTTAGAAAATGTAAACTGGCTAATTGATTGACCCGTGGAATGCAATATAAAATCCAAATTCACTAATGACTTTTTTGATTTCACTAATGATTTAATATCGGGCTTTACCATCGTTTTACTATACAATCTATCGCGCGTGATCGTGCGTGAATGAGCGCGCGTGTAAAGACGTTGGAAGGAAAAGGGAAAGATTGCGCGATGACACTCACCAGTCGTATTATATATTCACCAATGACGTTTTTTCGACTTTTGATTTATTTAGGGGCTTTGATCATTATTGAACACGCCGTCTGCCCGAAAAATCGGAAAATATTACCTCAAGAAAATACGTAATACCATTGACTTATAATACAAATCAAAATACTACCTAACCAAACATTTATACAAAATTTTCGCGGCTCTACTTGTTGGCTCAGACAAAACTGATTGATTGCACCCTGATAGGTTTCATGATTGATTAACATTAGTGATTGACTAACACAAATTTCTCCATTTTGTAATGGAACTATGAACAAACATCTTATTCACAGAGGATGATCGGACTCGAGGAATATCGCCAACTCTTGAGAGCAAAGAGGATGATGATGAAGAAGAAGAAACAACGAAGAACGGCAAAGGCCGACAGAAGGAGGCAGGGGTATCCGACGAAACTGAGGAAGGAGAGAAGAAAATACAAAAAGATGCTGGGTACTCTGAGGTCAGATTTCTTTCACTATTTATTGATAAAATTTACATGGATAAAGTTCAGTTCAGTGTTCAATGCTGCATATAGACGTAAGTGCGTTTCTAATAAAAGTTGTTATCCGTCTCTGTACTAAAAATATGTTTAAAATAATCACTTTTTGAAATTATTTTCAAAGTCGAAAGTCAAAGAATCATTTATTCCATAGGTAAAATAAATTTACACTTGAAAACGTAATTTCTTAAGCTACTGCTTGTTCACTGTGCTGGAACGAGCAAGAAACTTTAGGGATTACTCTTTTCAAATAAATTTAAATGCACTTTGAATCAAATATGTGTAGAATCTAGACCCGTGTCGTTTATCCATGTATCTTTATCTAATACTAGTCTTCAATTTTGTAGTTATGACTTTTCAACTAAAACACTTTTAAAGTTTTAAACTAAGGAAATGATGATTTTAATATGCTCCATTTACTCGTTTATTTTAGTATGTACAAGACATGAGACTTTTAACTCTAATTTCGTTAAACTGAATCGCTTCGCGTTTAAATAATTAGATAATATAGGTAACCATTCAACAGCAACCAAAAGTTGCCCATGATGAGATTCTTTTTTGGATATTAGGCAAAAATGCTTTCATCACCGAGATTTAATCCAAATTATTATTATGCATTCGAAAGTAACACTGTCCGTTACGTTTTCAAGCCTAAATCTAAACCCGCTGAACCAATTTTGATGAATTTTAGTTTACGAGAAGGACTGACTACCTTTTGTGAAATAAGGGATGAAAGTTTGTATAGAGAACCAATAAAACTATGAAAATTAGTATAGTACAGTAGGCTACTCGAGCGTACTTTATCTACGCAGAAGTCGCAGACCTCAGGTGTTAAGAAGAACGGTTGTTAAAAGAAAACTGTGTTAAATCCAAGTCTATTATCCGTTTTATTACGAGGTACAATTTTACTTTATACTTCTCTGTTCTAATTTTTTTATATCCATGATACAAACCCGTAAACGTAGTTGTGTTATCTATAGTCTGTGTACTCTCTGCATAGTTATTGATAGCGAGTAATTAATATCGGATAAAGATTAATTAATTAACTTTTGATACACCCACTCTCGTTGCATATAGACTTAGAAATGGATATAATATAACAATAGCTCGGTACAAGTTCCATATTTACTTGTAGAATTACTGTACCTTGGTACATACCTATATGAATGAAAAAATAAAACATATCTTTTCAGTACGACGTGATCCCCACTGTTCATCCAAAGAGGAACTGCACGCCACCAGCTATTGAACAGGTATGTTAAACTAGTTCCTACTCCGGTGACAGGACCTTCTCAAAATTAGAGAGGATTTTCACGTGTTCGCATAAACAATGCCCATAAGAATACTCCATTGCCTCTACAAAGTTAAACCACTAAGCAAATCCATAGATGGGTTTGTTTTGTAGATGACTCGCATGTTGTCTAATGTTGATTGTTATAATGTTATAAAAAAATTTAATGTTAACATGTTATCTATGTTATAAAAAATTTAATATTATAATTATGCAATTTAATAAAATAAATGCATAATAATAATGACACGGAGTAAATAAACGCAATTATTAAGAAGATTTAATTGACAAATGTTATTATTATTATACAATTTTAGAATAATTTGACGATTAAACAATAATTAATTGATTTTTAATCATTTTTTATTTGAAAAATTATTAATAATTAATTGATTAATAGATTTTTTTAAATATTTTAAATTTAAATTTGACTACCATTTTACAATTAATTCTTTTGAGTTTCGGATTATATTTGCTTAGATTTATTTATTTTCTTTGTAATAATATTATAGTTAATGGTAATCAAATTGTACCTATATCATAAAATTGACATTGCTGCGCCCTTACAGGGTACATGTTTGATACTTTACCAACGACTATAAGCACTATATGTAACAACATGTTTTGCATTAAACGATATTATTATTATCTATTTTAAACTATTATTATTATTATTATTTCTATTTTAGACTCTCGCCTTTCCCAAGGCCTAAAATATTAATTTTGAATTTTTTAATGGGAGAGACGGTATTTTTATTTGGAGCTTAATGATTTCGTGGCTATGTTGTTGATAGTACTTATATATGTTGTTTAGATGAAGAAAGATACAAAATATAATAATAAACGTGTTCTTGGTCAGTTCCCGAAGCCGCTAATGGGGCAATATGCACGGCGGCACGGTGGGCTTATCATTCATATCCTCGTGTGCATCTTCACCTTCATCGGTCTTGCCATCGTGTGTGATGAGTACTTTGTCTCAAGTCTTGATAGGATCTGCGAAGGTATGCCCTTTTTAATTTGTATATAGTTTTGACCAATTTATATTCTTATAATATCAATAATCATTATGAACTTGTATTTTCAGAACTTAAACTGGCCCCAGACGTTGCGGGCGCGACTTTTATGGCCGCCGGCAGCTCGGCTCCTGAACTCGCCACAGTCGTAATCGGAGTATTCTGCGCGCAGGATGACATTGGTAAGAATAGTTCGAAAGATAGTCTTTAACTTTTGTAACCCCCGACACAAAAAGAGTCCCTTCTATTTTATAAGTTAAAAACCTATGTCGGTCTGTGGCATCTTCAGCCGCGGCGAGAGCTCGACGGCTTGAAGTTGATAACGACTTCACGCATCAACTGCAAGCCACACTAGAACTCCTTGAGACAGAGTTCATCCAGGATAGTACTGCCACCTTACCTATTTCTGCCGCCAAGCAGTAATGTTAGACTTACTGTGTTCCGGTTTTGAAGGGTAAGGGTGCTGGTGAAATTACAGGCACATGGGACTTGTCAACTTATGTCTCAGGGTGATGGGTGCAGTGGTAATGCCCCTCAGATCTTTGGGATTTAAAGCTCTGAGTGGCACTGCAACTGTTGTGGACAGGCGTACCATCAGGTGCACGACTTGTTCGTCCCGTCTCTTCATATTACAAAAAAAAATTTTGATGAGTAGTTGGCTTATGATGCTTTTTGGAGTATCTACACTGTTTTGTGTCGGGGTTTTTTTAAACATTAATTTGATGAGTTATGTGATAAACTCACGACTAATGTGGAACAACAACGAATGTGTTTAAAATATTCAGTTTCTCTGTGTCGTCAATTCAATCCATGTATTTATTTTTTGCAGCCATCAATGGCAAACCCGACCAATTTTATGCAGTGTTATTCTATTAACATAGATCTTTTCTTCGTATCTTTCCAGGGGTCTCAGGAGTTATTGGCTCAGCGGTGTTTAACATAATGTTCGTGATTTCCGTGTGCGCTCTATGCGCCGGCACCGTTTCGCATCTCAACTGGTGGCCGCTCTGCCGAGACTGCTTTTTCTATGCCATATCTATCCTTGTCATGTTATGCACTATTGCCAACGGTTATGTGTCTTGGTAAGTGGCTATTATCACAATTTAATTATTTTGGATTAGGTAGTTTCAACTCGCAGATGTGATGCAAAGTGACTTGACTTTATACCATATAAATATATTATAGGTATAAGACGTTTTTTGGATAATTGCTGTAATTGTTTGTATTTTTAATAAAATGCCCCTTAAACTTGTATTGCATACATTACAAAATTTAATAGGTTTCTATATATTTGTATTAAATATCAAAATGTTTTTACTAAGTCTGTCTTTTTGAAGACCGAGTAAAATGACAGTTCACTGCGCAAAAGTGTTGCCCGCTTGCGAACAGCTAATGATTGCAGTCGATAAATATGATATCTACTATGTATCAACTGAATATTGGTCACACTTATGGAATAAATAGCCGAACATGTTACATTTGAATCATCGTAGATGCATTATTCATCTAATCGCGGAGCGCAAGTTCCTTTTAATTGTCAATTTTTATAAGTTCATACATACCTACCCACACAATATTTAGAACTATGTTTATGAAAAATACAAAGAGGAGAAATATTTTGAAGATTTTCATTTTATTAAATAATAAAAATTGATCTCGATACTAGTAGACCAACTGTCAAAATAAGAATGAAAAGGGTAATAACGCAACTAGTAATCATTAGAACGTCGTAACATTCACAATTCATTAATTTTTCTCAAAATTTTATCTTCTTTCACAATCTATCAACAAAACTATCGCCAACAACTACATAAGTATTAAAAAAAAAATTTTATGAAACTGGCAACCATACAAATGTCATTTTAATCCGTCTTCAAAAAAGACAGACTCTACCATTTTATACAAAGTACTTCACAAAGAAAAAATCCTTTGAATCAACTGGACTCGATTCAGTGTATGTTGCCTCAACGTGGCTACCCAAGATTTTATTTGTTAAGCGTATCAATTGAGTTACGGGACGAGTCACCAAATCTTATAAATTTATCTATGTAATGACACATTAAACGGCTTTTTTGCCATAGCGCCACCTGTGAGAAACTTATGAAAGTTTCTTCACTCAGCCAGGTTTACCTTTACAGCTACCAGAAAACTGACGGAGATGTCGCCATATTAATTACAATATCGACAAACATCGAACAGTTCCCATATCTTTCCCACATAAGTTTTGTTAATAGTGACCCTCCTTATCAACCCCTTTGTTATGCGGGAAGGGCACTATAACCTGTGCAGTCCGCACAGGGACCTCAGAGACGTCCTGATCCTAGATCAGCCCGTTTGCACGAACTTCGTTTGGTCCTCAAAAGGCTAATGCCTTGGATGAGCTGCAGAGCATGCACAGTACCCTCCCTATTTTCCAGATACTTCTTCTCTATTTTACAAACGTCGAACGAACTAATATAAGTATATTTCATAATGTGTTGGACAGGCCAGAGGCCCTGTTCATGCTGATAATGTACGTCGTGTACTGCATTGCGCTGCGGTTCAATTCGGCACTGGAACGGTGGGCGATGACGCTGCCGCTACCGTTCAAGCTGCCCACGCGCGAGGAGCAGGCCGCGCTTGTTACTTACAGGTGAGTGAATATTCGTTCTAAATTCTGTTCGTAACTGCGAGACGAACACGAGAAAGAAAGTAAGTAAGTAGATATCGAGTTTTTAGGCTTTCGCGATTGCATTGCAATACATTGGAACTCAATTTTTTTTTCGGATCTAAATCGGATGAACAGATGGGTACAAATGCATTTTTGGCCATGGATTCAATGTATCTACTGAAGTTCAGATTGGACGACAGGTCCATTGCAAGTAGCTGGAGACGGTCGGCTATCGGTATGGGTATATCACGAATGAGAAAAGTTGGAGTCAGCTCAAAGGGACTCCGTTTTGTGGAGAATAGACACGCCTGCGTTTTGGTAGCATTAAATTTGACAAGTTTGGCATCGCCCCAACCGGAGACTGCCTTGAGTGTTAAATCCAAACGGCTAACCATAGAGACTCTCGACAAGATTGGATTTCCTCTCCACTGACCCTTGCATTGGTCAAGTACCTATCTACAACTGTGCTGTCATCAGCATACGCATAGATACCTGGAATTAACATATCATTGACATGCATCAGAAAGAGTGTTGCAGACAGTAAGGAACCTTGAGGAACTATTGTACGATATTCGGAAGAGTAGCCTTATAAGACCACTCGAATAAAACGTTCACTCAAGAAATCCGAGATCCAATTGTAAGGTCAGTGCGAAGCCCATAACATGAGTAAGGGTTGCGTGCCAGACCCTGGTACGGATGCTGGTGATATTACAGGCACATTGGACTTGTCAATTTATGTCTCAGGATGCCGGGCATAGCGGCATTGCCCCTCAGATCTTTGCGATTTAAAGCTCTGAGTGGCACTTCAACTGTTATGGACAGGCATGTAGCTTACCATTAGGCGCACGACTTCTTCGTCCCGTTACTAGGTATTACAAAAAAAAAAACTGCAACTATTGATATATTTCTAGGAATAGTCTACTAAAGAAGAGTTGTCTTCAAGAACGGAACATGTCTAAAGCATATACAATATGAGTTAACTTTTATAGGAGCGCGGGTGGTCAGCCAGCAACTGCAGCGCCCGCCGGGGACGGCCAATACGCCGAAGTCGAAGGACAGACCAAAGAGACCCCTCTACAAAATCCTCGTAAGAACATTAAGACCTGTACCTGAGTAAAAACTCACATCACGTGTTTTACGTATTATTTCGTACAGTACATATAGCACGTGTCCTGGTTTGTTTTTTATTTATACAGTATATTGTCCATTGCTACATTAGTTGACGTTCAATTTTGATTTACATTTTTGACAAAAACGTAATTATATTAGACGAATAAGTCTAACTATGTACATTATATTATATGACATTAGATAGTAACTTCTTGTAAAAGAGTTCGTCTAGGGCAGTATTGCCATTGCCACCTTACCTATTTCTGCCTCCAAGCAGTAATGTTAGCATTTCTGGATTCCGGTTTTGAAGGATAAGGGTACTGGTGAAATTACAGGCACATAGGACTTGTGAACTTATGTCTAAGGGTGATGGGTGCAGTGTCAGTGCTCCTCAGACTTTTGCGATTTAAATTGCACTGGAATTGCTATGGACAGGCGTGTCGCTATCACTAGAATTAATATGATTTCAAAATTAACATTTTATCTTTTTTTGTCACAGCGTACAATCCAGAAGGAGCGTATGATAATGCAGCGTACCATGCCGATCCTATGCAGGCTTGGGACCCGAACCAGTCCTGGGACTCGAATACTGCTTGGGGCGAGGTAGTCTACCTAATATAAATATTTTTTTAGCTTATCCATAGTATAATGAGACAAGTAGTGCAACCCCCGCGTCTTCTGCGCCTCAATGCGTTCACGTCTCTCGGAGCGTAGGGTTGTTACCTTATTACCATCGAGTATATAACCAGAAATAGAGACGAAATGTCAATTAATTTGTTTGAAAACTACTATGCCAAATCATTATGGTGACAACTGCGCTCCGATTGGCCAGCCCGAATTCGAAACAATTGACGGATGTCGTCAATTGTTATCACTTCAAATCAACCAGTTTAACTTGAGCTTTGATATAACGGACGAAAATTGAAAAATTACATATTTAATATTTAATTACCGATGAAATGTGGTTCCGTTTGTTTTGTAATTAGATGTTTTGCTGTTTCCCACACCACCGAAAGGAACAGCACGCCATTGTTAGAGATATTATCTTGATTACTATAAATACAGAATATTTTTGGAATATACGGAGACGTTCACACAGGTCAGTTGTTGGCGCTGTACTATTTCAGCTTTTTAATTTGTGATTTCAGCTCAAACGAGAGTTGTTATTAAAAAGTGATATAAGGCCCATTTGCCTGATGAGTTACCAAGGATGGATGGCCCTTATTTCGTCTCTGTTTTTGATTATATGCTCGATGTTTATTATCGAATGAAAATTAGTGTTGCCCTGAGAGAGTTTGCGCACTACGTGCTATTGGTATAGTTCCGAATCCGGGAAATTACGGTCTGAAATGTCGCCGGGATCATTTTATCTCTTCGTATTTTCTCGGATATGAATCGGACTTAAGTGCACAAGCGACATTCGAAGTGGGTCCGAGTCTTCTAGATTTGTATAGTCTCCGATTCGGTTATACTTCTGCACATAAATAAATAAATAAAATTTAAATAATGCTTTGTAGTAATTAACTTTTTTTTGTATAAGAGCGAAACTCGATTTTGGAAAATTATATTACAGCAACAAAGTGGTACAGTGGCGGCAGCGCCGGCGACCACAGGGTGGGGCAGCAACCAGTGGGGCAATCAGGACCAGCCACCGCCGTATGATGCGCCACAACAACAGCAACAGCAGGAACAACAGCCGCAACAACCACAACCTGCTGCTCCGCAGACACGACCTGTAAAATATATCACATATGTTCCATTCTTTAGCACAATTAACAATACGCTGGTCATCCACTTTGAACCATCATATCCTAAGCCCCGTTACATCACAATGTATATAATATGTGAAGGGATTCAGACCCAGACAGTATTTTTACTACGATCGCGTAAACGCCGTATTATACGCATTATAATGAAAATATCGCATTCAAAGAAGGATGGCCACATCCCGTGCATTTTGTGACCCAGTGTTTTTGTTGATGTGCATTAAGGAGACCTATCAATATTTGTGATTCATTATCAAAGCATCAAAAAAGCTAATTGAGTACAGCCTTTAGAAACTGAGGTTATAAAGTTGATATAGGTTATGTTTATAACATTGTCCTGTATTTCGCTTCACATGTTTGTTCATAGTAGCAGAAAGTTTGTTCCCAAAAATAATAAAGACCTTCCCGAATATTCCCAAATCTGCCAAACTCTGCCACATTTAATATAGCTATGTAATGTTTTAATTTTTGCTTACTGTTTAATTGATTATTTCAAACCACTTGATACCTGTCACTTTTGAACCCAGTTGGTACCTTTTTTATTGTTTACATTACGGGTGGCGATAAGACACGTATAATATAAACACTTGATACTCGAGAACTTATTAAGCTGCCGTAAAAAGAATAACATGGGCGATAAGAGCACTTAAATAGCTTTTGTTTACAGTACAGTTATGATTATAATTAGACGACTTTATTGTCGAACTTCCGAGTACTTTGAACACTTCTGCGAAATTTTCATAGTATTTTACGCTTTACTTCTAACCATTTTGTATATTCACTGTATTAAGAAACAAAGGATATATAAAGAAATGACAAGCGTTTAAACACCTATCGATTAACATATGATAACACATGATTCTAGTATCATATGAAAATAATGTGTAACTATTTTTAAAATAAAGTAATAACAGTCGCGGGTAGCGACGAAATACGCGAAAATTTGCGAAAATGTCGTAAAAAAAAACTATAAGTCGCGAGGAAGAAAATTAACGAATCCTACCAAAACTCACATTGTAACGACCTAAAAATATTTTAATATAATCTATATTAAATAAAGTTATGTGTTTGAGTGATATTTTACTCCAAAAAGTCTTTTACTAAGGAATAAGTTTTTTTTCTAAAGCACAATGACAAGGTGCACTGACCTCTGCTTTGACGACAATTTTTTCCAATAAGATTCTGATTCGAATATGATATCTAATGTTAAAGTTTTAACACCAACTGAAAAAGCACATCCTGACGATTATTTTGATAGGTAATAATTACAGAAATTAATTAATAATGTCATTAATCACAATTAAAATCTTCATCAAAACCAAATCGTCAACAATTCCGCCAAAGTTTCTTTTTTTCAAATTTTTTTCTGTTCTAAGGGACGCATCGTAAATATTTTTTGTTTATACTTGGATATCGAGTATTTAACAGTGAAATACTAGTAAATACTTTAATACGTGTGGTAACACCAAAGTTATTTGTAAAACAGTTGGGGAAATGTTTTACCCGATTGGGGAATCGGGTTCTGTAATTGTGATGTTTGACCGAAAAGACGTATTCACACGTACTGGTAGCTGTGACTACCGGTAACTGTTCAATGGCAGTATTTTATAGCTTTAATGTTTTATGTGTGTACTAGAAATAACCAATACTTCTGGTAGGTATATATTCAATCATGCTTAAAATGAAACGTACGTACATGAACGTTACCTAATCTATGGTTGAACTGTGCTCAATTGCATCGTGTTCTTGCATCTGTTCTAAAATACAATGTTTTACATTTTTTTTATTCCCGACTTCTAAAAATATATTGATAACTAGGCAGAAACTAAAACGCAAAATTATACTGGCAAAATCCTGAGCGGCTCTTCGTCGTTATTGGGGCTTTCGCCATCCTTCTTTATCTGTATCTAGAAAAATATGTTTTTCATACACAACTGAGGGCTTATTCACTTGGGCCTGAAGCTAACCTAAAGCTTGTAATTATATTTAGTACATTTTATTAATGCTCTTCTCATTGTAGTTTGCTGGTTGTTAGAAGGTTATCGTTAGTATTAAGAGAAACGAATCGTTCTCTTACTTCATCGTACAAGTTACCACTGGTGATTTAAAGGTGAAAATTATAAATCCAATAGCACTAGAAGTCCAAGACTTTTTCAACTGATTGGACAAAACAAGATAGATCGAATATGTACTTCAATTTCCACAAGTACACACTCGTTGAATATGAATGACAATACATAATCAGGGGGGTGACAATATAATTGAAAAGAAAATCCAAAAACATGTACTTATACAATCTATTCCGTTATTACAGGTTGCCGCGCAACCAACATACTATAAAGCGAAAGAATATAATCCAGAAACAGCCGTCAATCCTCTGGTTAAACCTGTTGGAGCCAGTAAGTTACTAAATGCTAACAATACCCTTCCTGTGCCTTAGTTACTACCCGACTACAGAGACAGTAAAAGCCATAGGGTCACATTAGAGGCTTACAGAAGCGGTGCAGTGGCACTACTGCAGCGCCACAGTCGTGACACGCGCACACCACTCTTGCAATCACAATTTTTTAACTAAAAATTACTGAAACGCTCAAGAGGCGCGGCTGCCCATAGGCGTCACATTACGCTTTAATTAATTAAACTAGTTCACGACATTATATGACGAAAACTTTCAATGAAATCTTGAAGCTGACAGAAGAAAAAACATGCACATCACACTTGTACATCATACGTACACACGAACACGCGTACATGCACAAGAAACACACTGGGTGAGACAGTATATCTTGAACAGATCTGTCGACAGAATCTCGCAGATAATTTAAAAAGTGTCGGTAAATTATCATAGATATCCTATGTATGTGTAGCCTTCTTGCACATTTGCAGTAAATTCTCAGTGATTTAAGTGTGTGTGAGCATTTACGCAAAAAACAAGAATCACAGTAATAATCTCAATGTGGTTTTCGAGTATCTTTGTGGAACATACAATAACCTGGACCTTTTCATCTAGACTTCCTGCAACTGGCATGGTGGTATGTGGGATACCCGATCCACTGGTCTTGCCGACACACGATGCCGGACTGCCGCGGACGCTGGTACCCCATTACCTTCCTCATCTCCATGCTTTGGATCTCCTTCTACTCTTACTTCATGGTCTGGATGATCACTATTATCGGTATGTCACGAACATACAAGATCTAACAAAGTTCTTTGTAGATAGAGTTTTATCTTCTTGTGATTATTGCTTAATGATCATCTTCTGATAAAAATTACTTTATCAGAACTCGGTATGTCGTTATGATGAAGACTATGGCAAGTTTTCATCACAACGATTGTCGATATTTTATGAACAATATCAGAAATACGGATGCAGCCACAACAGTCACTGCTTACCTTGTGTAAATTATGTATGCAGGTTTCACACTGGGCATCCCTGACACCGTCATGGGACTAACGTTCGTAGCGGCCGGAGTGTCGGTCCCTGATGCGCTCTCGTCACTCGCTGTCATTAAAGAAGGGTAAGATGAACATTAAAGATATACCAAAAAGAACTTTATTAATTTGAAACTAATGACTGATTTTCAAATCACGGTTAACGGACACAAACTGTTGAAAAGAACAATTGTACGATATCTTTGTGCCTTTAGTCAAAAGGCTGCGCAATACTTTTTATGCCTAGGGTGACAATCTAGTACCAAAAGCCTAAATTCCTTAGCCGATTGTAACATGTTTTGTTATTTGATAAATAGCAATTCCTTGATTGTGGCTATGGTCTTATCAAATATTCAGTATACAGGACGGTAGTCGCCATAATGTTGTAAGTCACCGGGAGATCGATCTTTAGTTACTATCACACAAATCTATGGCATATCAATAATGTCCCGTTGCAATATCATCAGAAACGAAAAAAAAGAAAATAATTTTTTCTTTAATTCAGGACCACAATGAAGCATATAATTTCAAACATCATGGCTACATTCGTTTTCAAAGGTGTACCAAACTTTGTTTATTTTCCCTTTGTTACATTTTTAAATTACCTGTCTGACTATTCCTCTACAGAGATAGGGAGAGAGAGTAATTTGAGGCACAATAGATGAGATAACTTTAATGGTTAATGCAATACTAACTTGTCTAGGTATGGCGACATGGCAGTATCAAATGCGGTAGGCTCAAACGTGTTCGATATTCTCGTCTGTCTCGGTCTGCCCTGGTTCATCCAGACCGCCATCATCCATCCCGGTAGCCACGTTAATGTTATCAGCAAAGGTGAGTTTAGATTTAGATTACCATTTGTTAATAGTGATAATAAAGTAACGAGTATATAACCAGAAATAGAGACGAAATAAGGGCCATCCATCCCTGGCAACTCATCAGGCAAAGGGGCTTTGTATCACTTTTAAATATTAACTCTCGTTTGCACTGAAATCACAAATTACAAAACTGAAATAGTACAGCGTGTTATGTATCCAGCTTTGCACATAACACACATACCTAAAACGTCAGGTCAATGCACTTGCATTCGCGCACCCCGGAACGCGCGTCCCGTGTATTACATCGTGACCGATGCAAAACTAATCATTTTAATTATAATTATGAGACACTTTTCGGCCCAACGTTCCTAACATCAGACGTAGACTAAATTCCTTTAGATAATAGGAATGAAACTATTTTTCCGGATTTAAATCACGGTTGACCGTGACCATGGGACCTGTAAAGGGCCCGAAACGTCGGTTTGTTTGAAAAAACAAATATACGCGATTTAAATCCGGAAAAATAGTTTCATTCCTATGTATAACAATCGCGAAAACCTAAGAACTCCTTTAGATAATATCTTTTTTGTATAAGTACTTTTAGACATAACGTACCTAACTTCGGATGTTCTCAAAATTATTTAGTTTACCTTTAAGAAATACCTTTGTCGAAATTTAATATAGTTTAGTCATCATATATATAATAAGCGCCAACAACTGACCTGTGTGTACGTCTCCATATATTCCAAAAATATTCTATATTTATTAAATCTGTTCCATTGAGTGGAGTGGTAAAAACAGCAAAACATCTAATTACAAAACAAACGGAATCACATTTCATTGGTAATTAAATATGGAATTTTGCCATTTTCGGCCATTATAGCGAAGCTCAGGATAAACTGGTCGATTAGAAGTGAAACAATTGACGACACCCGTCCATTGTACCGATTTTGGGCTGGCCAATCGGACCGCAGTTGTCATAATAATGATTTTGATTTGGCAGAATAGTTTTCAAACAAATTAAATGAAATTTCGTCTCTATTTCTGTTTATATACTCAATGTGATAAAGCGAGTAAAAAATACAATTTTCTTCGCTGTCATCTTTTTGAGAGAAGTTTACGACCAACTGTATAAATATTAGGTTGTAACAACGTGGCAGTCCATTCTGCGAACTCAGCACGACTAAAATGTATGTTATTTTTCAGGTCTAATCTACTCAACTCTGTCTCTATTCTCCACTGTCATCTTCTTGGTGGTGGCGACGCATGCCAACGGCTGGAAGCTGGACCGTAAGTACGGCGCAGTGCTGATGGTATGGTATCTTCTTTTCATCACCTTCGCTAGCCTGTACGAGCTCAACATCTTCGGGGATTTCCATCCCCCTGACTGCGGGTCCAGCTATTAAATTCTTAAGATTGACGCGATTTTTTCTTCATCATTATTTCGAAGAAATCGTAGAGGTAAAAAATACAATGGCCAATTATATAGCCTGAGCATAGAGTTCACACAACGTTGATAAGCTACACGTAACCTTAGCCTTGTTGGGGAATGTTGGAACTATACTTTCTTCCAATGGCAACACATCAATTAAAATTACTAGGGGACCTCTGGTTTGGAATTCTATAGTCACTTGTCAGTCTTTACCTGTGCTGTGTAGTGTAAACTTAACCAACTTACGCACAGTGTCAATAAATTTTTTTGTTTGTCGGAATAAGGTATAGTCTTATTTTATATAAATGCAGTTTATTCTTCCAAGGTTTGTCTCACGTTACTGTGTTTTTTACTTCTCCGGTAAATGTTTTAATGTCATAATAATTCTACTAAAAGGACTACAATTATTTTATGTTGTACGAAATAGCCGGGTTATATTTTGACATAATTCGTATTTGGCCTCGAACTTTTACTTCTATAAATTGTCTATGTAAACCGGTAATGACTTCCTTAGCCTTAAGTAGTTAACTGAAAGATAAAAGAAGTCCTCTGTAGATTGCTACTACATGTTAACTAGGTAATTATATAGATATATTTTTATTTGCTAACTCATTTTAATGTATCTTACTTAATGTAAAAGAATTGTACATAAAGGTCTAAGTTACTGTAGTTATTTTTGATGTTACATAATTTATATATTGCATATGATTATGTATTTAGCAGCTAAGTTTTCTACTATGCTATTATCTTATGATTACCTATGAACATCGATTTCTCTTTTATTGTAAAAGGTAACGTGTTATATAATTATATTTCTTATATTATAGTAAACTGTTGATTTAAAATTTTTGTTTTGGGCTGGGGTGAAATAAAGATGTAACGCGTAAGAAAAAGTCATTCATTAATGGTCTACATGTATGTGTTTGTGCGTTTTACTCGTGCGTTTGCGTTTACTTGTGCGATGCGTGACCGTGTCCGTGCGCGATTGCGCGTGTGTATCCATGATTGTACATCCTTCGAGTAAGAGCGATGCCTCACGATGCGTTGCGGCGGCGGTGCGGCGCCTGAACGGTACAACTGCGGGGCGTCCTAAATAGAAACATTCATGGTACACCGGACTTGCAACTAGCGAGATGAGGCGGGGAGGTGAGTACGCGTTGGCACGCCCCGGAGTGCCACCGCTCCGGTGCGCCCTCAGTCGTTCAGTTGTTTTTACGGTCGAACGATGGTTATACGCTTGCTTGTTTCAGTTTATTTTTACGTATTTTTTGTTTCTTTTTAATAGGAGATAACAATGAGCAAAGAAAATATTGACATGGACTACTTGATTTGTTTAATTCAAGAAAGATAAATTATATGGGATAAATAAAAGTAACAACTTAAGTTTCTTCCGATCCATTTTTATTAAAAGACTGTACACCATTGTTCGACCAACACTCTTCCGTCGTCGCTCGCCGCGCACCGCTGCGACCGCCAACGTGGCGTAATCTTTACGGTGCGGCTCTGCAACACATCGTGTGACCCGGCTCTTAAGTGAGTCCATTGAAAGTGTACCATTCATATAAATGCGCAACTAAATGTTCACAACTTCATTAATGTGTTATGTTGTATGTACGAGGCCCAAAACAAAAATTTTCTACTTAGATCTATGTACGTATAGAACATACTCACTAAAAACGTTTACAGTTGACTACAGGTTTACTTACAAGTAGAAATGCTAGCCTATATTCTAAACTAAGTAAGCTTTTGGTAGTTATTTCATTTCAATCTCTTCAGATTGCAAATATAAAAGTGTCGCGGCAAATGTGCATTATGGTTTTTTTACTCTTAAGGAATCTTTATGTTCTCGAGCACTATCCATTTCGTACGTTATTATGTGGTTATTGTAATCTGAAAATAAGAAAATTATTATTATTCAATAAGCGTAAGTATTTGTCGAATTTAGAGCTTTTAAAGTTATGATAGAGTTCAAACTCAAACGTCACACTTTTCGTCCAGTGAAGTTTCTTTTTTAAAATGCTATTAGTAGGTACAAATGTCTAAGTAACGTCAACCTGCGCAAATGTTACGAGTGTTAAATGAACCTTAGATACAAAGTACATTTAACAAAAATTTTATACTTTTCGTTATCATAAAAAATAAACATAATTTACGTGTCAGATGTAAAGTATTCAATTTCATGCAATAATTGCATTGTTTTTTTAACCGACTTAAGCCAATTCAGCGTCGATGAGTGTCGTGATGCCCTAAATATTGATTCCTGCAATTCTAAAGAATTAACCAGCAATACTTAACTGTGACGTCACAACCGTAATGGCGTCAAATAAGCTAAATTGTTAATATGTGTTACATAACCCTACTCTGTTAAAACATCTCACCCTTGGTGTAATAAGGTCACATCTGTAAAACTACAAATGACTTAAGAAGAGAGGTTTAAAAATACCATGAGCGAAATCTGCCGATAATGCTAAAATAAGAGTTTTATAAAATTTTACATCCGTATACATAATTTATATACGTAAAAATACGTATTATTTCATAAGACTTTCATGTGATATAATCTCAGTACAGAGTACTAAACAAGCTGACCTCAAAAGTCATTCATCCCCTAGTTTAACACCCTTAGAGGTGGAATATTTTCTTCAAATTTAAATGGGACCACTTCTGAGGTACCCTCTCTCCAACAAAAAAAAGTATCATCAAAATCGGTTCATAAATTAGTTAAATTATCGCGTAACATACGTACAAAAAAACATGTATGTATTCGACTGTAGTCGAATTGAGAACCTTCTCGCTTTTTTTAAGTCGGTTAAAAAACACTTTCGTTCACATGCGCCTTTATTTCACCAATATTTACAATTAGAATATTAAAACAATTTAGGACACATTTGCCCTGGTTGACCATAATACAAAGAATGAAATTAGTTTAGGATGTTAAACACCAAGGCTGCTGTTACCACCTGGCTTTTACGCACAAAATGCTGGTAGCATTTTGTTATTTTAAAGAGTTTTAAAGGTTAACAAAGGAATATATTTGTCCGAATGTAATGGCGTCGATTCATCTTATGAATATTAGTAGCGAGTATTTAATTTAATGATAAAGGCAGGTATGATATGTTTTGACCCTTATTGTAATGGCTTGTTTCCATTTCTAAATTACGCAAGTACTTAATTCCCACTATGTTGCTATAAGCACTTGTTTAATAGTCTACAGCTTCAAATGGCTTTGGTTGATTCCTCATAATAATGAAAGTGTTAAATAGATCACTTTGGAAAAAATATATAATAAAATTGAAGATATGCACTGACAGTGTGAAAACACGATTTCAAAACATTTTCACGATAGAAAATAAATACAAACTTACATCGAAATTTTACAAAAAAAACGCGTTGTTCAATAGGTACTTTGCGTATACCAATTTTTTTTTAATATCAATTGAACTAAACAGAACACGTATAAAATACGATACACATTTTTCAAATGGCTTTAATTTATTTTATAAAAAAATAAATTCTGAAATAAAGCCAGTGTCCCTGTGGTCGAGCGCGACCCAAGCAAAATGAACCGTATTAGTATGGCAAAACATTTTATTTGAGCTGAGATAGTACGAACTCTTAAGGCGCGTTTCCTTTAATAAGGTACAAAAGGAAAAAGAAACAAGGATGGTAGATAGATGCTTATCAAAATTGTTATTGGAAAGCAAAAAAGCATTAAATGAAAGTGCTCCTTAAGGCGAAATGGTATCGTGGTAGCGTAGGCTTTGAAGTGTGTGGGGTGACGCGGAGAAATTCATTACACGATATTTAAAAATTTAAACATACTCTCTTACTAATAATAATAATAACGCACACACTCAACATGGCCCCGCACTAGGGAAACCCCGTGTCGCGGGTGCCATGGACACACACATAAACAACCACAAATTACACCCAAACTCACGAGAGCAACAAATGTAGGCCATACAAATATTTCTCCCGACTCGGGAATCGAACATCGGACCTCTGCGTAGCAGTCCGGCATGGTAACCGTTCGTCCACTGAGGCAGTTATTGTAAAATAGGCTCATAGTCTCCTGATGTATTTATTACAGAATACGGGAGAGATAATTTCATTGAAATATCTTTAATAACAATGGAATTAAACTGATTTTTCCGTAAATGGAAGTAGTAAAAAAAATGAAAATATTGCGGAACTCTTTTTTTTACCGACTGAAGTTTAGTCAATCGTGTTTCGGTCCCCATATTTCACTACCGGCATTCTGTTTTTATATCAATAAAAAATCGGTTCTGATGATGAATTGTTCTGATGAATCTTATTCTTTAATGTCGAAAAACGGATTTTCCGTTTAGTCGAGATACGTTAAAACATCTATTTTACTTGTAACTCACAGCATGCATATGGCAAATATATTAATAATATAAATAGGAATGTATTATTACGCGTTAGCTTTCACATAATAAGCTAAATGTTTTATTAGTTTAACCATATAATAATCGAAGTTACGCAGGGACAAGACTTTGAATAAGGGTCAACGTTATTCTAGATCTCGTTCTGTTAATTATTTGATGTGATATTAATACGAATAATTAGTAGTGCGCCAGTCCGTAAGAAAATTATACTCGAGTAAATGAAAATAAATATCTCAACCAAGTATTTTGTAAATAAGGTCCATAGTTACCAGTAAATCTTAATCTGAACCCTTTAAGACAAAACTACAAAACATCGATATATTGACGAATTACTTACCTAAAAATATCTTAAAATAAACAATGTAAAAACCAATCAAATTAACATTACATGTAGAATTTACAAATTTTTGCTACGAAAATTCTGTACTTAGAGAAAAAAGCGGATTAAACACGAACGAACCAATTTACCCAAGTCCTCGATCTTCCGTAGATTTGATGTAGATTGAATGTAAGTACTATAATTCAGAGTTATGTAGGACACGTTTCCTAAGTGACGTATACGCGGCTAACTGCAAGAAAATCGTAACATTCGTGGTGAAAAATTCAAATTAAGTCCTATACGAACGAAGATTATGGCGCACTTATAGAAGCACTGCAAGGCGCATCTGTAGCGTGTCTGTGGCGTGGCAGCTACGCCACTACTAATATTCATACAATGTCCAGTTTGCAAAAGTGGCACGACTGTGGTGCTGCAGCTGCGCTACTAATGTACGAAACACATAAAGAGCGGGTGCAGGTCGGGCGCACGATCCTCCGCTCGTCACACGCCCGCGCTCGGTGTGTTGTCGTCCATCGACCCGCCGCGGTCTCGACCCGACCCGCTTCCGATCTCTGTGTATTTCACGCTTAAATATTGTATGAAAATTAGAAGTGGCGCGGCTGCAGCGCCACTGTGGCGCCACTGCAGCGCTGCTATAAGCGTCTAATTTGAAGGTACCCTTGGCTTACGAATCAGCGAACGCATAGTAGTTTCGATTCCTTTTCCTTATTTTAGTAGTTTCGCTTCCCATGTGGACTTTAGTACTCTTTGATTTACATGTTGCTATTATGTTTGACCCTATAAGTTAGTTCGCTCCTTAAAAGTAACTCTGCTCTGGAGTCCACGTCAGCTGATTCTGTTCCATTCCGTTCTGCTGGTAGTAAAAAGCTCGAGACTGTTCTCACAGACACAAAACATATTGGAAAAAATACTTTCGATTATAACTAAAAGGGTGAACTGGAAGAATGTAATTCCAAGGCGTTCTGCAAGTGGGAGAATATGGGCAGAAAAAGTTTTATATTTGGAAATTTTCTAAATTTCGA